GGGGTCCTGGAAGGATTGGCGTAGATGGTTATTATTGAAACTTCTTTCACTGGAATGGGTGAAACAGGATCTTTCTCAAACAAAATTTCTTGATTATCAATCAGTTGTTGGATTCCTTTCTTCAACAGAGGGAAGTCAAATGATAAGGACAGGTGTTGTACCCCAAAATTTGCCCTCCCATTTCCTCAACATTTTCTCATCACAAGACCCTTGAAAATCAAGATCCAGTTAGGGTTTCCTCTGCTCAAGACTTCTCCTTGCACTGTTGACCCAAATTAGGGTTTGTGTTTGCACAAAGATATTTTGACCTAAAATGCCTAAGATGACTTTCATGCTTCATGTTGGACTCCCAAGTTTATCCACACCAAGCTTCAAGTCTTGATTCCAAATTTTGCCCAGTCAATTGGACAGTTGACCTAGAAATCAACTGTATTGGGGAAAAAGTCAACTGTGGCCAATTGACAGTCAAACATCATGAAAATTGACCCACATCAACATTATGAACTCACATGGACCATTTGATCAAGTTTGGATCACAATTCCACAAGGAATTTGATCAGATCATCAAAAGGGCAAAATGGTCATTTTTAGGGTTTTGACTGCACAAAGGCAATTTTTGACTGTTTGACCTAGCCAATGGCAAACCAAGCTCACATATGGACTCAAGGACCCCATGGAATTATCTTGACATGCTCAACAAGTTCAAAGGATCCCAAATACACAAGATTGATAGTTGAATTTCCCAGTCAATTGATCAATTTTGACTGTATACTGAAAAGTCAAACTTTGACTTTTTGGTCAAAATCAAAAGTCAAGATTCATTTTTCATCAAAACATGCCAAATCCTGAAACTTGTTCACCAAGAAATCAAAAATTGCAAGTTAGGGTTTGAAATGAGAATTTTTCATAACTTAGAATTTTTCTAAGTTATGAAAAAACCCTAATTTTTTCCAACTTTGCCCCACTTTCTCACCAAGATTCATTTGGATTCAAACAAAAGTCAAAACATGAAAGTTGTAGCTTGTTTCAAAATCTACAACTTTGATTCACAAAGTTTTCCCAAAAGAAGCTTGTATCTCAAGTTACAATTTTTGGAACAAGGGTACCAAACCATTCTTAACTTAGTGAAAATTTGACCTATTTTGGACAAGTTTTTACCTAACTTAAAGACCATTTTTCATACACTTCCACTTGGAATTTCAATTTTCATTTCAAAGATGGATTGTAGTACACATTCCAAGCTTTCCAAAATGTCCAAGAACTTCTCAAACAACCTCATGGTTAGGGAGAATCGAATTTTGCAAAATGGGAAAAAGTCACTTTTGTTCTTGGCCAAGACATGTTCATACATTGGTGCCATTTTGAATTCAGCATGCTTAAGCTACATTGCAGGCCTCTAATCCCATTCTCACTCAATAATTTAATGCAAAACCATTGTGCCAAGATGTTGTTCTATGCATTTGGACATTACATGGAGAATTAACCCTTAATTAGAAAAAGCATTATTTCCATTTTGAAAAAGTAGAACTTTATGTCCATTTTGCAAATCCAAGTGGTACAGTCCAAATCTTCTTGGCACAAGTTTATGAGCAAATTGCACTGATCAAGGCCAATGTATGCAGCATAGTGTGAGGGCCTGTACAGGCTAGAAACATCAAGTGACCATTGTTTGCTTAAAGTTCAAGAAATATTGCATATGACATACCAACTTCCATATCAGTCAACCAAGCCTTAGAGAAAGATATCAAACACATTCCAAACATTGATCCTAAGCTGAAGCACGAGCCTTTCACCTCCAATACCTTCACAAACTCAGAACCACCATCAAACTGCCAAAACAGAGTGACCTCTGCAGATTGAGTTCCAACTCTCATCCCTGTCATGCTTTCTTGCTAAAAGCTCTTCACACACCTTCCCTACCATCAATGCAAGCTAACCAAAACCTAAAACACGACCTGTAATTCCTCTAACCAGTTCCACCATTTTCATTTTCTTGTTTTGCAGTTGAAGTTCTCTAGCACGATTCAAGAAGTTTCAAGACAAAGTAAAGCTTGGAATAGCATCCTTGGACCTCAAGGAAGCTATACCAATCATCACCTTGCACTGAAAGCTTCTCCATTGCCAGATACAACTTCAACTGAACAGGTAAGTTCATGAACTCGTATCTCTCTTATTAGGCATTGTTAGCTTTAGGTTTGTGAAGAAAACATGTCACAATCATAGCCCTGAACATGCCCATATGATTAGATTTCATTTATATTATGTGTGCTGCAAGAATTTTGAGTCTGAACATTGATGGAAAACTAGGTCAGGAATTGGGGGAGAAGAAATTCTCCCTCATCTTAGAGAGTTAAGTCAAGTTTTTTATATCCCTGGATTCGTCTTCTCATGCTCTACACTTTTCATGTTGAAAGTTTTGCTTAAAAGTCCAGGAATTGGGAGATAGAAAACGCGTGTTTGGCTTGAACGAAGGTGTTCTGAGGTTGAAGATGACTTGGTTCTGGGCTGGGCCTGTTTGACATTTCTTTTTGCACCATATTTTTACTTCTGCACCCCCTGAGCCCATTTTGCTTATTTCTTTGACTTTTTGACTTTTTCTTTTTTGGATTGACTTATTTATTTTTTCTCATGATATTAAAAATATAAAAAATATTTTTCTCACCATTTTTGAATTTATTAGGCATTTATTTGATTTTCTTTTAGTTTGTACATAAATAAATAAATACATATACTTTTATTTAAAATACTAAAATAGTGCAAATACATTTTTATACATTTTTATTTTGTTTTACTCTCTGAAAATATTTTATAGAAAAAATACTTTTTTTTATTAAATTTTAAATATTATTAATTTGTATATATAATACATATTTAGTAAATAATACATACATATAATATATATATATATATATATATATATATATATATATATATATATATATATATATATATATATATATATATATATATATATATATATATATATATATATATATATATATATATATATATATATATATATATATATAATATATATATATATATATATATATATATATATATATATAATATATATATATATATATATATATATATATATATATATATATATATATATATATATAT